TGTGGACAATGCAAGCAAGCTGGGAGTAGGTATACTCTTGATTTGCCTATAGTTGAGGCTTTGATAACTGATGTAGCCTTATGTGACCTGTTTTTCCCCCACTTTCAACTCAGTTTGTTGCACTGGAGGCTATTTTACCAATTTTCCTTTAGCCTATATTTCTAAAATGTTGTTGGTTTCTTTGTAATCTTTCATTTTAATGTTATTTCTATAACGTGCACACTAAATACATTAGAGATCGTAATTGTAGACTTTTCTTTCATTATGCATATTCCAAAGTTGAAAACTTAAGTTTGGCCTATAGCTAGTTATTTCTAGCTATAGAGGCTAGTTAAGTTAGTGGTAACAAATGGTCTACATACACACACACACACACACACACACACACACACACACACACACACACACACACACACACACACACACACAGTAGGTCTCTTTCCCCTCTTAAATCCTGGGCACTCTGACAGCACACATTAAGATCTGCCTTCTCAGCATGAACACATCATAAAAGTGGACAGGCAATTTCTGTTTTCACCAAATAGCCACGCGAGCTCGTTCTGCATCTCTGATTTTAATACACTCGACAAGCGGCTTAGCAGCGCTAAGGGAGAGAGAGCCGAGCCCGAGGGAGAGGGAGAGAGAGAGAGAGATCCGAGGGAGAGATTTTTGCGATTTATGCCCCAATGCCCCTAAATCCATTTCTCCGTTTGAATTATCAACTAGAATTTGATTAACATTCAAATTCATGGCGAAAAGGCTTGTATAATTCTCTCAGTGGATAGTAATTAATCTCCGGTTAAAGTAAATTAATACATATATTCAGTTTTGTCAGCGACATGCTTAGTTCAATAGCCCGGAAAATTGAAGTTTGAAGTGTTAAGGGAATCTATAGGAACGTTATAACTAAAACTTTCAAATGCACTCTATTTAGTGATCAATCAAGTTTCCCCCCAGGTTAATCTAGCTAATTTCTCACCTCATATCATAATAGGGTGACATGCCATTGAGCCAAGAATCGATTAAGTTTTTCTTCTTCCTTTCTTTATAATGTTATCCACTTGATCCTACACTGAAGAAAAGCTATTTCAACCACTGAAAGGATTTTTGTCCAGAATTTATTGAAAAGCAATCATTTTGATTATTTCCAATATCCACTAGGCCTACAATTATCCAAACTATGGATTTAATGTAAACGAAATATGTTCTCAATTACGTACCTCGATAAAAAAGGAAAAATAAAAATAAAAATAAAATACTATTGCTATCATCGAAAGTGACATCAGCTTCTTAAATTAAAAAAGAAGACACGCAAAAAAGCTAAAGGAAAAAGAAATGGGCTTTGTTTAGCCCTACATAACTGTGGATAAATTTCAAAGATAATTTCAAATCAAATTACAAATGAGAGAGAGAGAGAGAGAGAGAGAGAGCGAGAGAGAGAGAGAGAGAGAGAGAGAGAGAGAGAGAGAGAGAGAGAGAGAGAGAGAGAGAGAGAGAAAGGTGAGGAGGTGATGTAGTGAAGGGGAGGAGAGGGGCGCATACCCTATTGTTTCAGCAGGGACTCATGCATCAAACTTCAATTTTCCGGCCGATTGAACTAGTGATTTTCTTCTCTCTCCTGAGCTGAAATACATTTACAATTTGTGGATTAATTACCATAGTGAAGTATTGGGGATTGTGCTTATCTTTGCCACGTTGGACAACACCTCATAAAATATGGAACTGAGACCAGCACTGGAATAGCACACTTTGTACTGGTCACTATTTGGCCCTGCATTAAAGACAGCCACATAAGAAACCACGTGGAAGCAAGAGATCTAATGTAGGCCTATGGTTCTATGCTTGCTTCATATATGGCACCCCTTAAGGTTCTATATAGAACCGAAATTGGTTCCATATAGAAATATATAGAAATATGGAACGCAACGGTTCTATATGGAACCATTTTTGGTTCAGTGAAGAAGAACCCCGTGGGTTCAGATCAAAGAACCCTACAAAAGGGGTGCCATATATGAAGCAAGCAATAGAACCCTTTTTGGTTCTATCCAGACCCTTTTTTTCTGAGAGTGTAGGCTTCTCTACAAAAACTCATGAAGCTTCACTGTTCTAGGATATGCATGGCACGTCAAATAATGCAGCAAATCCTCGACATCTTACCTACCTCTGCCAATGTTGCTCTGTTAAATTAATAGAGCTGCATACAATATTAATAACGTAAGGAAATTAATATTGTCCACACAGCATCCACCATAATGTATGCCTGTAATGGTTCATTCACAAAAATAACATGTTCATCAATTAATGTTTTGACAAATGTATTGATAATTATTTGATTTTGTATAACTTGGTATTAATAATTGATCTGACATTTACATTAACAAACGCAGGGCTTTAGCAGTTTAAATCAGCCTCCTTGTTGGGCCAAAGTACCATGTGCGCGAGTCATAGGCTTGCAGCCTCGAGCCTGTTCTGCCAGAGGGATATCATCTTGAGCAGAGAACATTTTTGCAGGGAAGGCGGCCTGCTTTCATTTCCAGACTTTACAACCAATACTTATAGCAAATGGAACAAATGAGGGAGCTTATTAACACAGCCCAATTAATGACAACAATAGTAATTTAATAATAGAAACAATGATATTATATAATTATTATAATATTATTAAAAAAGTGTGGTTATGTGGTTGTCATGTGGTGTTGCTACCATGCTGTGTTGTCATGTGTTGCTGCCATGCTATATTGTTGTTTTAGGTCTCTCTTTATGTAGTGTTGTGGCGTCTCTCTTGTCATGATGTGTGTTTTGTCCTATATTTTTATTTTTAATCCCAGCCCCCGTCCCCGCAGTAGGTCTTTTGCCTTTTGTAAATAAGAATTTGTTCTTAACTGACTTGCCTAGTTAAATAAAGGTAAAAATAAATAAATAATGGCCTAATAATAAACTAGACTACTAACAAAATATAACCGTAGCAATAAACTAATAATAAACGAATGATGATAATAATAAACGAATTGTATGCTAAAAATTATAATAACAATAATAATAATAATAACACTATTGTTGTTATTCTTATTGTTATGATTATAGGCTATTATTAGTATAACAGAATATGGTAATGATAATGTGGGTTGAATTACAATATATTTTAATTGAACTAGGCCTAACTGAAAACAATACATTTCCAGTACTAAATTATAGTAGCCTAGATAGTATTTTAGAGTATAATTTGTTGAAGAATTATCTTCAATCCTCAATCCTCAAAGTCGAGTTTTATATTAGTGCGTTTTGTAAGAAGTATCTAACTCCATAATAAATTATTAACATCTTGTGACCATGTTATTACGCTCTCAACTTCATTAAAAGTGCCATAGACAAAGAAAGAAAGGAGGTAGCAAACAGAAGAACACAAAACGATCAATCACAGCCCTCCACCAATCGCACAAATGTCACCGTTTAAACGTTATGAGACTCCGCCGTACTTAGCATGAAAAACACCCAGGCCATAAGATAAAATGCTGAAAGATCTATCGTCCAAAAAGCCAAGCATATTATTTATAGCCTCACACAAAAACACAAAGCACAGACCAGCCCCTCTCCAGAATAAGAGACTTCAATTGTGATGCATTGACTTGATTAAAACGCACGAGTAAAAAAAGCCTCGGAAGTGACATCTATGAGCACAGATGCCCTCAGTAGCAGAGGGGCTATGTATGCATTACTGCCTTTGTAACAAAAATTTAGCTAAAAGGAGGGTTAAATCAATCCATCAAATTGACTGGAAATTGTGAGGAAAATTCACAAACCATATGGCCTCCAAACGTTTGTGTCCTTTTCTGTGTGTTGGGTCACGCTTGTCTCCGTATTGCGCGCGGCTGGAGTCCGCCCATGCCCCATTGTGGCTGTCACACAGGGGAGCAGTGCTCATTTGTCCGCCGGTTTCACGCTTCTATGCGGAGAGTGAGCGGAAAACGTACAAACAGCATGGAGAAGCTGGACCAAAACTCGACGTTTTTGTGTCTCCTTTATGGCCTCTCTCTGTGCTCCAGATTGGCGTTTCTCACAAATTCTATTGAGGAAATGAAAACACACGTCGCCGGGTCAGAAGGCAGGTTTTCAATGTGTTCAATGTGTTTTCAACGTGAAAGAGAAACGATACTTTGGCTCGAGGCGCAATTTGATATTATGTAAAAATACAAATACAATATAAAATATTTAATTATAATAGGCCTATAGAATGCTGATTGCAAAATATATAGAATTAAGGTCCCAAAAGCATTTCATGTCTAGCTATGTTTCAATAATTTCTACTAAAATAAGTAGTCTATGAGGAATAGTGAGAAACGAAATGTTTTATTTTGAAATACATTACACTTTATACATTATGTTTAAAATGGTGTTCTGGCATTGAAAGGCACTTACAGGTATGCAAACCATTATAAATATATTAAAATGTGACTGATATTACAAGCAACCAGATGGAATATTATTTATCTTTGATTATTATCTTAGAAAATGTCTTCCCATCTTTATCAAACTTTTGAAATATGTAGGCCTACGATATAGTTATAACAGCCACACACAGCCTAGCATATGTTGTGTTTTTCAATCTGAATACCTCTGTGTAATATTCAAACCAACCGTCATTTAAATTACAATTAAGTGAAACAAAATAAAACATGCATTGAAATAATTCATAGGTTGAGTTATTAGCTAGAGGTATTCGCTCATACCGGTGTATGTGTGTGTGTGTGTGTGTGTGTGTGTGCGTGCGTGTGTGTGTGTGTGTGGGCAGATCATTTGTGGATAAATTACATATTGCTTTTCTTTAAACTATTCCACGTTGGTTAAATGAATGGATGAATACAATTACTGTTTGCATCTGTTGTTGCATATAAGACAGTCCATGCGATGCTGAGTGTTCTTCATAAAAGCCTCATGATGTGGTGCATAAATGGCACTTCAAACTTTAGTCGTGGTAAGAGGGAGATACAATAGTAAATTCCTCAGTCATCCACGTCAATCTCCTCATCCTCGGAGCAGCCCTTGCTGCTAGTGTGGTCTGTATATGGCGACGAAGGGGAGGACAATAAGAGTTTGTTCGAGGTGTTGCGCTCATGGTTCAATAGCGAGGTTGACTCAGATCTGTTAGGGCCCGTCGCGCCGTTAGCTGCGCATTTCTCCAGTTCGGCTAGTTTGGCCATCTTCTCGAACGACACGGTTCCCACGGCTTTGGCCGACTCGACATCCGCCTTCATCTCCTCCAGGTCGCGTTTGAGCTTGGCGCGCCGGTTTTGGAACCAGGTGATGACCTGCGCGTTGGTGAGGCCGAGCTGCTGTGCTATTTGGTCGCGGTCAGCTGGACTTAGGTACTTCTGGTAAAGGAAGCGCTTTTCCAACTCGTAGATCTGGTGGTTGGTGAAGGCCGTGCGAGACTTCCGGCGCTTTTTGGGGTTATTCCGCGAACCGAATAGTGTCGTGCCGTCTCGGCCTGTGAGAGGATATATAGAGGATAGGGATATTAGCCTATAGGCATTTAGTGAATCACCAGGCATAATGTCGCTCCAAGAAACCTTAGAGCAATAACTGCTAAAATAATAAGAGGCCTATGCATGTATTTCGCCTCTAAACCCACCACCACCAACAATAACAACAACACCAATACGGTCAACAGGCTAAACGTATCGTAATAACAGACGATAATAATAATGTGATACAATAGGCCTAATAAAAATAATAATCTTAAACTAAATCTTAAATTAGTTTGCATTATTATGTGGAGTAGTATTTTGCTCCATGTTTAAGTATGAGCTAATTATTCGTTTTTACATGGTGGAACTAGTCATATTTAATCTATTTTGTTCACATAAGAATAACCAATTCGATACACATATTTTGCAGAAATCCAGGATAATTTTTTTTTGTTCCTTCTCAGTTTTAAGCTCTTTGGCAAGTCTCATTGTGGAAAAATATGCATCGTGCTTTATTCAATACTCAAATTCTGAAAGAAATATGTGTGTGAACAGACCCAATGCAGGCACACTCACACACAGACCTGACATTCTTATATATTTCGTTTGTTGAATTTGTAGTAGACCATAAACTGAATTACACTAGGCTACACAGTCTGTACATAACTAAATCGGACAAACAAAGATCTGACTGTCCAGACTTACCCTCCGCAGCTTGAAGAACACTGACTTCGAGCCCTTTGAAGGTTTTGCTGGCGAGCTCCTCCAGAGCGCAGAGCGGGGAGGTTTGGGTGAAAAGCGCCCGGCTGGACAGGCTATGACCTGAAGAGGACATCTTCTCGATGGAGGAGAGCAGGTTCGCCGTCCCACAGCTGGAGTAACTTCTCTTTACCGAGGGCTTGTTCAGGATGTCCTCTATACTGAATGGCGTCAGGGGCTTGTTGGAGTTGGCCGGCGGCGGGAGCTGGTCCAGCGCGCTGCGTCTCCGGTCCTCCATAACCGTGGGATCTTTGGAGGTCATAGTAGTTTATCAGGTGACACTTCGGAGATTTGTTTATGCACTGGTTATACTTCAAAATAATTATGCCTAAATGAAAAATTGTGGGAAATGTGGAGAATGGAAATCCGATCACAGGTGCTTCTGCAACCGCATGTTGGTCGCTTTGCCGCAGGGTAGGGAGACTTTGAGTCCAGTTAAAGTCCCACTTCTCCTGTCCACTGTTACGGGGTGAAGCACGAGCCACAACATGAAACCATCCAGTGGACAGTGATTCCCAAAAAGCAGCCGCAGTTGACCACCACTAACAAGTTATTGTAGATAGGAAGGTAATCAATTATGGACACTGACACAAATGCACACTCTCTCTCTCTTTCTCTCTCTCTCCCTCACTCTTTCTCCCCCCACTTTCTCTCTCTTTGTCACTCCTTGACTATGATGCGGACCTGTGCAGGATTTAGCGTGAGCGGAGCAGCGGTAATTAGAGGGCATGGCCGGGGGAGGAGTCAAATTGGATTACTTAATGCTGTCACACTTTCGTCTAATCAGCACTTCATCGAAGTACATATTATATTTTTCTGTAGAATAGCCTATTTGGCTACCACATAATGTAGCCTACGCATGAACAAAATATGTTCAACAATGTTCAGATTGAATCAACTTTTCTAAAATGCAGGATCATTTGCTTCCAGTTATGATAGGCTAATTTGTCTTATATATACACATATATATATATATTTTTTAAACGTTTTTACTTGTAGCCTAATTTTCGATATAGGAAGGTGGCTATGCCTGTGCTTAAAAGTGAGTCTAGTGTAGATATGCCCTATGTTTTATAACGGTGGGCTGTTGTGAAGGCAGGCAGTATATCAGGTTAATAATACTTCCGGGCAGAGAGACATCATCATCCCCTTTAGCCTTGCCAAATCCTCTGCACTATAACTTACGCACAAAGGGCCATCCTCCGTAGCGCGCGGGGAGATATTTCACCTCCTCACTGCCTTGCTGCCATGATGTGGAAATATGGTGTACAAATATGGATCTATTGCAGAGGTATATTTGTAGTAGGCCTATTGTTTAGAAATGAAGTGTCAGTTTAACCATCCAGCATGATTTCACATTTAGACAATAGGCCGCTACACACTGAAAACAAATAAATGGTAGTGCTAAGTAAGGGTTATTTGGCTTGTAACCATAGCAGAACCCTTTTTCGTGCTATATGGACATTTTTTTTGAAGGCTCTATAAAGAACCATGCTCATAAGGTTCTAAATGGAACCTGTATGGTGCTATAATGAACCCTTTCCTAAGGTTATATAAAGAACCCTAAAAAAAAGGTACTATATAGCACAAATAAATAATCTTTCTCAACCTCAAAGGTTATTTGTAGAACCATACAGGGTTTTTATTCTGGTTTAATAGCCATATTGTTAAAATTCCATAGGTTTTATCATTGTGTTTATTAAGTTGAATCAGGTGTGCTAGCTCTGGAACGGCTGGGGGTCCCTGAGGAGAGAATTGAGAACTACTGACTTGGTCAACCGATCTCAATTGACACTAGGCCATACATGAGTCTTTCACAAGACACCGTCACTGGCCATAGTCATATATAACATGTAATAGCATAACACAACATAACCCTTGTTTGAACTACAAATAACCATTGAAGGGCTCAAATGGTTATTTGGGTCAGTATGGTTCCACATAGAACCATCATCCTTCCCAAAGAACCCTTGAGGAATCCTCATTTGTTTGTGTGTAGGCCTATATAATATGTTGATGTAGGCTTATTGAAATAATTGTATGGCTAGGCTATATCTCTACTAAACACTTTTATGTTGGCTACATGTTTTAAGCAAGATCAATGAAGCCCAGCTGTATTCAAGATGATCTATAACGTATTCCAGCGAGTTGTGAATAGTATCCTGCTGTGATACAGGCCTCTAGACCAGGGCTTCGTTTCCCAGTTGTGATGTAACTTAAGCATTACGATGATCATACCAGATGCATCGTTATTTATGAGCCACATTTTAAAGAGTTTTTCCCAAACATTCGTTTTTATTTTATTATTTTATCAGGGAGTCATACTGAGACCAAGGTGTATTTTACAGATGAGCCCTGAATTACAGAAATTACAGAAAATACACACATCAAAATATAAATGCAAACAGAAAGAAAAACAAGGTAATAAAAAACCCCACATTAATCAGTAATAAGATCCTCAATCAGCTTTCTGAATTGCCCTAGAGGCATCAAACATCCAATTTAAGAAAATGTAGAAGATTGTTCCACAAATAAAGTGCAAGAAAACGAAATGCTGATTTACCTAACTCATATCCAGAGTTAGCCATCCTTGAGACCTGGTGTGGTAACTCATAAGACTAAAGTTTCGTAATGATGTTAGGTACAGTGAGAGTTTTTGTCAAAGAGCTTTATACATAAAAACATAGCAATATATCAACCCATGTGACATCAAAGAGGGCCAAAAAACTTTCTGGTAGAGAATGCAGTGATGAGTACTAAAACTGTCGCTTGCAGTGCGCTATGATAAATTGCATCTAAGGGCTTTAATGAAGTGGCCGCTGCATTCATATAGATGATGTCACCATAGTCTAGGACCGATAGGAACGTCGACTGAATAATCAGCTTTCTACTATTTAGCGAGAGGCAGGACCTATTTCTATAGAAGAAGCCCATGTTTATTCTCAGCTTCTTAATTCTTAAATAACTCATCATTATGCTTTTAAAATACACATTTTAATCTATCCAGATGCCCAGATATTTGTAAGCAGGTACACGATCAATATGCAAAGATACAGGCATCCAGTGTCCTTCCTAACTCAGTTGCCAGAGAGGAAGGAAACCACTCAGGGATTTCACCATGACGCCAATGGTGACTTTAAAACAGTTACAGAGTTTAATGGCTGTGATAGGAGAAAACTGAGGATGGATTAACAACATTGTAGTTACTCCACAATACTAACCTAATTGACAGAGTGAAAAGAAGGAAGCTTGTACAGAATAAAAATATTCCAAAACATGCATGCTGTTTGCAATAAGGCACTAAAGTAAAACGGCAAAAAATGTGGTAAAGAAATTAACTTTATGTCCTGAATACAAAGTATTGTTTGGGTTAAAATCCAACAAAACACATCACTGAGTACCACTCTTCATATTTTCAAGCATGGTGGTGGCTAAATCATGTTATGGGTATGTTTGTCATTGGCAAGGACTAGGGAGCTGTTTATGATAAAAATAAACGGAATAGAGCTAAGCACAGCCAAAATCCTAGAGCCCTCAAACTTAACTCTGGACCTCGAAGTCAGTTCCACTGCGTTTTTTAATTGTTCCCCTCTAATCAGGGACTGATTTAGACCTAGGACACCAGGTGGGCACAATTATTTATCAGGTAGAACAGAAAACCAGCAGGCTCCAAAACTCGTAGGGTAAGAGTTGAATACCCATGTCCTAGAGGACAACCTGGTTCAGTCTGCTTTCCAACAGACACTGGGACACACATTCACCTTTCAGCAGGACAATAACCTAAAACACAAGGCCAAATATACACTGGAGTTGCTTACCAATGCGACATTGAATGTTCCTGAGTGTCCTAGTTACCGTTTTGACTTAAATCATCTTGAAAATCTATGGCAAGACTTGAAAATGTCTGTCTAGCAATGATCAACAACCAACTTGACAGAGCTTGAAGAATTTTAAAAAGAACAATGTTAGTCCAGGTGTGCGAATCTCTAGGAGAATTACCCAGAAAGACTCACAGCTGTAATTCGCTGCCAACAGTGATTCTAACATGTATTTACTCAGGGCTTTGAATACTTATCTAATCAAGATATATTAGTTTTTTATTTTTGTATATATTGTTTTACAAATGTTGGAATTTTTCTTCATCTTTGACATTACAGAGCATTTTGTGTAGATCGTTGACAAAAATGTACAATTAAATCAAATTTGGATCCCACTTTGTAACACAACAAAATGTGGAAAAAGTCAAGGGGTGTGAATACTTTCTGAAGGCACTGTATGTTTAAATCATCAGAGTTCTTTTTATGCACTCTAGAGAACAACATATACTTAGTTTTACCTGCATTCAATACTAACTTCAGGTCAATAAAGTTGTTCTGTAATACAATGAAGGTAGACTGTAGTTCAGATAGAGCCTGGTCAACAATTGCCTGCAATAGCATACACAACAGTATCATTGGCATATAAGTGCAGGTTAAAATTTTTAACAGATAAGTCAATATTGTTAATGTAAACAGTAAAAAGTAAAGGACCCAGAATTGATCCCTGCGGGACACCTTTCGTTATGTCCAGAAAAACTGATTTAACACCATCAGTAGATACACATTGAGTTCTATCTGTCAAGTAATTTTTAAACCAGTTACATGCAGCCTGGTCAAGGCCAATTGAGGAAAGCCTCTGAATTATCAGTGAGTGATCAACAGTATCAAAGGCCTTTGACAGGTCAATGAAGAGGGCAGCACAATGTTGCCTTTTATCCTTACAGTTAACCACATCATTTATAACTAGGGATGCAGCAGAGATAGTGCTATGACCTGGTCTAAAGCCAGACTGATGTAGATTTAGAATACATTTCAAAGATCAGAAAGATCTTAGATTAGAAATAATCAAGGATTCTAATATTTTAGCTAGGCAAGAAAATTTAGTAATAGTGCGATAATAATTTAGGTCACAAGGGTCACCACCTTTGTGAAGGGGGAGTGCATGATATGTTCAAAAGAAAGGGAGTGCTGCTCTCAGATCAGCTTTCTCCATTAAAATCTTTCCCAAACATTCTCATTATTTCACAATACTGACAAAAGATCACCTCCTAGAGAGATATACCGCCTACTGCTGCAAATATTGAGGCTGCTTATTCTAATGCTTACCCAATAAAAATGCATTCAATAATTGATTGGCACATCATTGCGCACATGTTAGGCTACACATCATGAAATATACTGAGACAAATAACAGACAATAGCTTACAAGTAGCAAAATAGAACT